CATCAACACTGACACTCATTTATTTGCCTTTAAAATAATCCACTCGGTGTGACCCGAGAGAAGCAGGCTGACCTGATCACTGGTCTCTAGCTCCGAGTGAAATAGTTCTGCTGTAAAACAGTTAGAGAGGCCAAAGTATGTTCCTGATCCAGCCTGGACTCACAAGTGAAGCTACATGTAACGAGACCAATAAAATACCGTACGATGCTAGAGTTATGTTAATGTGTTTATTGCTTTAAGAAACTATATTTACCTTCAAGTGTCTACTGGGCCACTCAGAGTCCCACAACCAATGGTGAGGTCGGAGATATTTGACATCTGAGCAAACCGATAAATGAGCACATAAACAGTATACACGATATAAAAACAGCTGTTTAAAAGCATTTTGGTAAATTCATACTGTGAAATCTGACTCGGTAAGATTCTATATCATGATAACAGTTAAATAGCTTGAAACATAATGGGGGGGGGGGGGGGGGGGGTCACACATATCACAACCTGTACTCTTTGTTTTTCCAGAGGGTGACAGAAGCCGTGTATGAACAGGTGGAGATGCAATGGCTGTCTGAGCAAGGCAGGGTACAGTTGATCATTTAAAAAGACAGGACTTGAACTGGCAAACAAACCGACCACCGATTGAGGCTTCTACGTCAATGAATTCTGAGCACTGCGACAGATAATCTCTGCTAAGGTCCTTCCTCGAATTTTCACCCGTTTATTTCATCACAAAATCTGACTGTGTCCCCCCACCCCCCCACTGCTGACGGAACCACAAGGCATCAAACTAGTGGACTCACACCGACTTAAAAATCCCAGAGACCGCCTGGCTACAGGATCAAAAGAATGAAAATAGAAAATATTGAGGTTGTGCAAATTCATTATCAAATAGTGCACTATTACCACATTGCACACATGTAGCAGATGAGGAGGGGTGGTCGATCAGGAGCCAGACGACTGGATTTGTAAGTGACTGAGTCCACAGTCCGCCACGCAGCCGCTGCAGGCCCGACGGCTCTCATTTGCTTTGCGTGAAGGGCGGCGTGGCGCTGTTGGCACTTGCAGCGGTGGCACTAACGATGGAAAAGCCAGCGGGGGGCGCTGTGGAGCTGTGGCTCGGCTGAACGTCTTTCGGGATGCCACTGTGGGAGGCCAGTTGATGGCCAAAGGCCGCGCTGAACTGTGGGAGCTGTTGCTTGGGGTGCGTGGAGGTCAGAAGATCGTGTGAAGAGGCCGGGAGGGAGGATGAGGGGGCGGGGGAAGTCGTTAAACCCTTCAAGCCACTCTGGGGCATCGCCGAGAGCGCCGACATGGGCTGCAGCGTCACAGAGTGCGTGGTGGCTGGGGGTGTGGACAGGGAGGTGGATATGAGATGACTTTCTGATCCTATGAGATTGCCGAACTGTGTGGGGTCCGTGAGGGGGAGAGGGAGATTGTTCCATGACGAGCGCGGGGGTCCCGGTACCCCGCTGAGAGGGACTTCCAGCAGCAGAGGGGTGTCTGTCTGGAAGGTGCTGGCGTGGGGAGAAGATATGTGGTCACTGTACGGGGATGGCACGTGCTCACTGCTGTAGTGGCTGCCTTGGGGAGACGATGTGGGCGCATCCGACTTGGTCAGGATGTGGGATGCGTGCGTCCGGGAAAACGTTCGCTCTGCTATGGAGGTCTGCGTGAGCAGGGAGGGGTTGGTGGGGGCTACTGTAGAAGAAGATGACGTCTGGGGCTGGTTAGCGGGCTGAGATGGCGGTGAGGGGGGGAAGTGGCCCCCGGTGGACTGCAGTAAGTTGTCCTCCAGCTCGAGGCTGGTGAAGTTCTCCGTAGGCATGCGGCTGTTGAGCAGGTCCCCCATGCTACCCGGCTGGACTGGACCAGGGAACACGGTCATGGCTCGGTGGTCCACTCCTTCAGATGGGGCCAGGTCTCCCATGGAGGTCAGGCACACCAGAGAGTCTGGGTAGGACCCCATCGCCTGCAGTGCACGCACCAGCTCCTCAGCCTCTTCCGTGGTGGGCAATAAATCTCCATTCTTACCTAAACACACACAGAAGCAGAATTTAACACTATAAAATCACAGATAGAGAGGACTTTACTAGCAGAAACATGAAAGAATCAGCTGTATGACAACCTTCAAACAAGTCGAAGACCTGCAGGTCATCAGGTAGTCTCGGTAACACGTCGGAGAAATCCTCCTGGTTCAGCTCGAGGTCATTTGGAATGTCTGCCATTTCATTGGTGATGTCGTCCGGAAGCTCCTCCGTACTCATGTCTGGAGTTGACGGGCTCCTGGTACAACGATGAGATAAACTTAGTGAAGAGACACAACACGTGTGACACGAGAGCCCGTGAATGAGGGTATTCTCCCCGACACTGGATCTCGGGGCACTTAAATTTGAAAGTAAACAGCGGAAGAGACACAAGTGTGGCAGACCTGATGCTGGCCTGTGAGGGCATCGCTAGGCTTGTAGAAGGCATTCCCAGGTTCCCCTGTGGCAGCGCTGGAGGGATGGGTTTCTGAGGCCTCCGCGGTCCTCTCCTCCTCTTCTTCTTGTGTTTTTTGGTGAGTGCCGGTGGTTTGGTCTTTTTACGTGGCTTTCGCTGTTGCTGCTGCTGGTGGTGCTGCACTCGTCTGTTACCGTCCCCTCGCAGGAAATTATCCTGTGTGTCATATATGAAAGAGCATTGAGTCATAACATTATCCCGTAGGAGGAGCAGTCACAAGCAATAACGGGAAAGTTAAAGGAAACTTTCGACGTTTCGGGAAATACGCCTATTCAATTTCTTGCAGAGTTAGATGAGAAGACTAATACCACTCTTATGTGTCAATCTTCTCGTCTAACTGCGGAAAAAAACTCACCATTTTTTTGGCATGCTCTTCACAGAGTGGTGTCTGGTGCGTGATGTCAAACACAGGGATGGAGCACTGCTGACCATCTGCAAATTTGGCTGTGCAACTAGCGAAGAGCTGCTGGGAACGATTCAACAGAATGTCTACAGAGGACAATAAAGGAAATAACACACTAGACGGAAAGCCTATGATCGTAGTACTCCACAAATCACAACCCTTTTACAACTCAAACTGACAAAGCTAGTAGTATCGGCGACGTGGTGGAAAGGATACGCTGAAAGCAGTGTCGAGTGAAGGGCAGAGCTCGGTTGTTGCAGGCCTGGCCCTTTGTGCTGCCGGTGCAGGTCCCCGCATCTGTGCTCTGCTGCCTCGCCGGAGCCACACTGTAGAAACATACAGAGCCGGGGCTGAGCCAACAGCCACAAACAGTGACAACACTCCACATTTGTGATGTTTTGTGCGTTTCAAATCAGGAGATGACAACGAGTCAGTCATAAAAGCAGCACACTTTGCTGTTTGCACGGGTATAAAAACACATTCGGTTGATGGGAGGGTTTCGTGACTGGGAGATAATCAAAAGCTGACGACTGTGACATCTGCGAGATTACCTTGAGGAGCTTCGAGAGGCACCACGTAACTCCTGGATCAGCTGGCCAGCACAGTCGGGGTTGTTACTGGCAGCGTGCAGCAAGGCTTTGCGGAAGGCATACCGGTATCTCTTTTGGCGGATACTCGCCCTCTCCTGCCTGCACATGTGCTTGTATTTCTCCCGGAGATACGAACAAAGCCTAAGCAGCCGCGTTCTCCGCGAGGAACCGCTGTCGTCCTCCAACCTGTTCAGAAAACAATAGACAGCAATCATGACGAGAAGCACCAGGTCAAAGTTTAGAACTGTGGGGAAAAGTATTAGAATACCGACTCATTCTGTGGTCTCCACGAGCTCTGGAAAGGAACAAAAGTCTCTGCCTCCTCCTCTTCATCATCATCATCAGCAGCACTGTCTTCTGACCAGTCCAGTCCTGGAAGAGAACTTGTTAGAGCAGCTCATCTATCTCGGCAGGCTCAAATCTCAATTGCTACACTATCCCACATGAATTTATATGCATGGAAAAACTGAGTGGTAAATGCATTTAAATTAAGCACCTAGATGAGGAAAGAGGTCTCCGTGCTCCTGGTGCGTCTTGGCACAGAGCTGCACCAGATGTTGCAACCTGGCCAGGCAGCTGGCAGAAGGTGAGAAGGCAGCGGGACGCATGACAACCGTGTGCCGCTGATTGTTACTGCCAATGTCCTTGCAACTGACAGGCAAGTGAGTAGCGGTGAAAGGCATTTTCCTGCTGAGTGACGGCCCAGAAGGCTGCACTGGACTGGGTGCTGCATTAGCGGGCATCCCTGGAGGCAGAAAGTTGACCGTCTGAGGTGGTGGTGGATTGCATAATAAACCCTGCTGCTGTCCTGGGAAGATGAAGGAAGTCACGCTGGAGTGCTGGGGCGGCTGGAGAAGACCTGACTGCTGCCGTGGGAGATGAGTGTTGAGAGGCGAGGAGGGGTGGACACGGGGGGCAGGGGAGGGAGTAAAGTGCTCAGGAGGTGGCTGGAAGAGGTCCGTGTCATGGCAGAGTTTCTGGTTGAGCAACAGCCGACTCTGTAGTTTCTTCTTGATGGCGCTGCCCTTCCGAGGAGTACCCACCTCCTCCCCATCTGTGTCGTCCTCATAAAAGGCAAAAGGGTCCAGGAGTTCCTCATCGGGGAGGGGTAACAGGCGTGTACAGGGAGGAGATGGCGGAAGTTCACCTAGACCATTGTGAGCTTTCAGAGCTAGAGAGGGCACAGTTATGTTGAGAGCCACTGACTCCAGGTGAGCCCGGGAGCGCATCTCCTCCAAAGCGTCATGCTTCTTCTTCCGTTCCTTCTTGGGGATAAAGCCCAGAACCTGCAGGTGGCTGTTACAGTATCTGGAAAACAAGAGCACAACCTCAGCATTATGTTGATCATGTAATTGCGACATGATTTGTGATCATTTTTACATCATCATTATCAATTTCATTCAAACAATTAAAATGATTGTGGCGTTATTTTTTGCAGAGATCTGTGCCAAACAAAGATGTTTTATTAAGTCTGTAGAATATAATGTGTAACAGGGCATCTCTGCAGCACAACAATATTTGATTAAAAATTGTATTTTGACACACATTTCACCATTAACAAATATTTACATTTTAAAAATTGGAGTAGGTCATGTTGCGATTTTGACATAATTTAAATTAATTGTGCAGCCCCAGTGGAATACGCTACACATGCACATGAAACATACACACCTGCGGTCCTCCGACTTGGGGATGGGGTTGGTACATCGCTGGCTGTTGTACTTTGCCACATATTCACATTGCTTGAAGGGGGCCGTCTTGTCCTCCAGAACGTGCCGGATGCAGAAAGCATAGCCATTTAGTCTGCGTTGCTTGCAGAGCTTTGGGCTGTATGAGCACAACGGCTTATTGTCCACCTCTGAGAAGTGTATGTGTTTGCCTTCATACATCACGTGACTCTTGTTCTTGACAACATCAGCTGATTGGATAAAGTCGGGGAAAACCAAGAATTACATCAATAACACATCATATTGAGGGCAACCATGCATGCACATGCAGGGTTGAGAGACATGGAAATAGTCACCATTTACCTAGCTCTTATCCCTAATATGATTGGTATTTAATAATAAATATTCAGGAAGCCCACATAATTATGCAATATAATTTTATTGCAACTGATTTGATAGTTGCTTGATCGTTTAACTACTATTTGACTGTATAATGTGAAGAAAACTAAATTGCACTGACATTCTAATACTTATTTGAGAACAACTTAAGTCTAGACAAACTTTGCTTCTGAATACTGGTTGCATTTACACCTTCTCATCCTCAATGTGAAAATACCATAAACAGAGAATAGGTCATTATAGCCAACAGTCCATTCAATTATCCTCCAAGCTAGCACTTACAAGATAAGATGATGCTGGTACAACAGCATCTTGCATGAAAGCAGCCTGCTTGACAAAGTTAAAAGCTAGAAACCTGTGACCTGCTCTTGTGTGTGCATCATTTACAAACTATCTGAACTCTAAAACAACTCAATCAAAAAGTCGCCTTTTCAGATTCAACAAGAGTGTAACGCTTCACAACAAACAAGCACACACACCGGCTGCTACGGGTATATTACAGTACACTGTAACGATTATTGTAGCGTTAGCTGCCCCGCTTCAGTAGTAGCTTAGCTGCTACATTTAACATGAATTGTGTGTTTTCAGGGTTGTTCTAAGAGCACTACGTTCCTGACAGCTGTGGTCAATGTTGGACATACAAGGACGTGTTGGCCAATTGCCATTTGTATCAGCCTGGGCTCACGTTCACAACTTTAGATACGGAGAACCGGACAAGCAGCAAACGGTGACTAACGTTAGCTGGCTATCATTGGAGCCCGGGGAGCTAGCTTGCCAACATTAGCTTGAAGCCGTTGGACAGATGTGAAACTTTACACTATTAAATTGTAAGCGGATCTAACTGTTAAGTGTAACATACATCCACAAGACATAACTTGATCTATCTTCAGGCAGAAATACATTTCATCAACATAAAACAGACACGAACATTTCAATTTGATAGTTAGCTCACAAGCTATCAAAGCTAAAAACACAAATTAGTAGGCGGTAGCTAACCAGGAAACGGAAACATCAGCAAATGACAACACTATAAAAGGTATATTTTCTGTTTAGTTTCATAAAGAAAAATGCTAGCGTAATCATACATTACATGAGATAACTCGCCCCAATCGTGGGATTTTGTGTATACAAACACGGCACATTTATAGCCAAATTCGTCCAAACAAAGGGTCTACATACGAGGCTTAAGGCCTGTCCCCGAAGGCCTCCGTAATGATCGATATGAATTATTGCCACCATCATTGCATAGTGTCACGTTAGCAGACTATACTACTTGAAACTGACAACATTGCATCACTTCTCATATCTACTTAAAGCGCCGAGTCATTTGGTCAGATCATAAGTCATAAAATAAATGAGTCATTAATAGGAGGCCTATTAGCTTCGATAGCACAGCGGCCTATAGTTGACCGCTCGGCCGTTTGAAAGCAGTGCAAAACGGTACACTCAGAAATCGAGACCGAGGCTGTGAATGATTTCGCTTACCTTGAATTGGTATGGGCTGTGTAAGGTATTCGCTCCAGACAGACGGCCGAAAAGTCTGTTCGATTCAGCTAGGCTATTTCTGCATCGATAGTCGAGATAGGATAATAACAGTGATCTTCATCGAGCTTGGTATATCTTGATATACGGATGCATTTAAATATAGGCTATCCAGAGCAAATTACAAGCAGTAGGCAGGCTGCTGAGGATTTTTGTTGGATCCACAGCAGACTCCTCACAGCACCACTACAGGCACTGCGAGGACATGACAACAATCCGCTCAACAACAACAACCTCTCCTACCATATTGGAAATTCAACTTTGTTAAAAACCCCTACAATGTTGAAGTGTCATGTTGATCTCTTTAGGACAGATATGGCAGTTTCGGTGAATGACAGTGCCGTTTGCATTTTTCACATTTTAAGCAATTTGGTTAAACTATATTAACTGAGAGGTACTGCAAAGTGTTTCAGTGGAAATTCATCTGGACCAGGGCTATCGTCCTCCACATAGATGAGTTGCCAGCCCTGCTGCCACTCTTCCTGCCGGCTGTTTACTGATGATGGACCACGTGCCTGACAGATATAGGAGCTAAGTTGTATTGATTTCGCATAAAAACAAGAACGCACCGTCCATGGCACCAGTACATATATATTTTTTTACTTTTGACATTTTTTAATAGGAACACACACTTTCTATAGAAAATTGGTTCATACACAAATATACATTCTTGTAATACTATATACTCCATATACCTTTAGGAAAATATAATCTCAACACTTTTAATGTTAGTAATTTATAATAAGACAATATATTAAATGTACTTTTGAATAAAGATTTTGAACCTTTGGTTACACCTACTAAAAAGTCATAAGAGATGAAAACAAACTGTTAGGTGTCTTTGGAGATTTGGTAAAATAAGCTTACATATCGACTCTGTACGAAGCACATGCTTCCATAATTTGCATAGATGATGAGGCACCTACTATAATAAAACAGTGCAAATTCTAGACATGTGCAAATGGCTGAGTTGTGCGTATATATATTTTTTGGCTGTGCTATGCATCGCTCTTTAGCATATGGATGGCTCGTCCACAGCTTGTGCTCCCTCCCTGACAGCTTTCACACACTTGGCCATCGTCTGGGAGGCTCTGCTTATCGGATCTGTGGGCAAATAACACAAGATTTTTTTTTTTCCTATAAACAAAATAAACAATTACTTTCATTTCCGAGTATGTACACTCTAGTCTACGTATGCTGGTTCAAACAGAGTCAAAATCATTGTGGGTGCTCCAGGCGGCTTGCCTTCATAACAACTGCAGAAGTAACAAAACACTTCCTTTAATAGGAAGCACAGCAGTAAACAACACAAAGTCTTTGCTCTGCTTCTATTTTTCTTGAGAGAAACCTCTGATTACTGGCATTTAAACAGGACACTTTGAATGATTACTTTATTCAGCCATAGTGTAACACTTTTGTGGGAATTGTCATTTTAATATATTTAATTTGGATAGAAAATAATAACTAATTTAACACATTAGCTAATGAGGGCATATAATGGCACATTGCAAATTAGATGCAGTTATAAAAGCTAGAATATGTGACATTAGTATTAGTATTGCTATTAGTATTTCTCTCTATAAAAATGAAATAAACATGAATATATTTAAATTAAGGCGGTGATACATCACTGCTGTGTTTCCTGGAGGATTTCGGAGTGAAAACAACATTTAGACTAGGTTTAGTGAGAGGAGTTCCAGAGTACTAGTGACCCACCTGTCATATAGAAGTCCTTCACAGTAAGCTGTGGAGGGACTAAAGGTCCAGTAAGGACAGCCTGGTTCACTGCCTGAGAGAGATAAGCCAGATATCGCCATCATTATGAAGAACAGTGTGAAGCAAACTAAGATAAGGAAAAATTGAATAAGCAGACATTTAAGTAAAGCTTTGTTGGTGCCTCCTCTGTAATCCACTAAACACATGCTGGAGGAAGATAACAGCTGACCTTTGACAGTTCATTAGCCTGCTTAAAGTAGTTGGCCTCCTCCACATCGTCATATCGCACCAGATTTGGGGAAACCTCTGCCATTCTAGCACGCACTTCATCGAGGGTTTCATATGGCAGAGTCACTCCAGCAAGCTTGTAGATGGACAGAGAAAATACACAGTATTTAGTCTTACTTCTTATTATTTAATACAACTTTATTTTGTTTGGTAGTTCACCTCAGATATGGCTCTGATGATCTTCCAGTCCTCCCTTGCCATGCCCGGGGGAGTCACAGCCACTTTGGTCTGCTGGGCACGGCCCTCCGTGTTCACATACGTGCTACATTTCTCAGTATACGCAGCTCCAGGAAGTATGACGTCAGCCATTGGTGCCCCAACATCCCCATGGTGACCTGGGCAGTTATGGTACAGAACATTTAAATTAAGCAAGAAAAAGTTTGGTGCTCCCTGACAGATTCTGTAGGTGTCTACTGGAGGGATAAACACCATTGTTTTGGGTGCATTTACATGTGGTCAAGCAGTATCTCTTTGCAATCAGATCACCCACAATGCAATTTAAAGCAAAGTGTACAGGAGGGTATCAGATGCCATACATGCATTCATGTAAATGAAAGCTTCTGCTGCTGTGCAGTAAGACAGCGGACCTTGATATATTATAAAGCTGTCCTTCGGGAGGTCCTGGCGAGTAATGCAGCCGGCATCAGCTCCTAGTAGGAACAGAACTTTGGGTGGGTTCTTTCTGATCGCCTCCACACCTGGTTTGTATCCAAGATCAAGTGCAGCCACTTGACTGGCAACCCTGAAGACACAGGAAAAAAACAGCACACATATTACAGTAAACATCCCTCTTGAACACTCCCGGTTCCCGAAAGCTTTCCCTCTAATTTTTCAAGACCTGTGAAGCACGTTGAGAACCTTCCAGGTTTCCTCAGCGCCACTGCTGATGCGAGCGTTCTGAGCAATGGTTGACGCAGCAGCCATTATCGCGGCCCCGTCCTCTGTCTGCAGACAGCTGCTTCCAACCACAACAACAGGATGCTTAGCTTTAGCCAAGACCTGCCAGAGACGATAAAAGACACAGAGACTAGGAAGAGACTTTCAAGTTGACTGATAACAATCATTACATTACTGAGAGTGTTACCTGGGAGAATGGGTGAGTTCCTGACGCGATTTCCTGAAGAACCTTGGCAGACTCCCCAAGATGGTCGTATGTGTAACTTAGGTCCACTTCCTTTCCCAAAAGAGCCACTTGCAACTCATTGTGAAGCCAGCTGAATCAGAGACGCCAAGAGCATATTAAAGGATGCACATTTTTGTTGAACATGACTCAGATTTACTCGTCTGACACTGTTCAACTACCAAAAATACCTTTTTCTGATTCGTGCATTGATGAGAGGAGCCTCATAGCGTGGGTTTGTGCCGACCAGAAGCATCAGGTCGGCTTCTTCAATGCCAGCAATCCCAGTGTTTAAAAGATAGTTTGAACGCAGGTCAGATCTAAAGAAGCCAAAGTAAAATCAGAAACTTAACTTCAAGTCCAACTGGCTGTGTCCCATCTCGTTTCCTTCTCTCTGTGGCCTTACCCAGCTCCAGCCATTGGGAACACCTCCTCAGTGCACAGGTTGTCACTATTCAAACGGTTCAGCAAATCCTTCAGGGAAATGAGAGCCTCTGCATCCACCAAGCCCCCGACGACAGCAGCAACAGCGTTTCCTTCAACTCCTTGCAACTGTCAAAGAAACAGATGTTACTTAGGACAAGCCTAAGTTGAAACAACAAGTTGCAAATTATCCTACACTGTTACACAAGGTCGTTCATCATAAATTACATACTACTCCAGCCACTCGAGTCAGCACATCTTCCCAGGTTGTGGGAACGAACTGCCCACACTCGTTTTTCACCATCGGCTGAGTAAGCCGCTGCCTTTTGAGTCCATCATATGCAAACCTGTCAGGATAGGAAGCAAGGCAGAGCTCAGCAATGACGCAAACATCATACATGACACCTTAAAGTTAACTTTGTGTCGTTAGAAAAGTACCTGGTTTTGTCTGAGATCCACTCCTCATTAACATCCTCGTTAAGACGAGGCAAGATTCTCATCACCTCGCCCCCGCGAGTGGTCACCACAATGTTACTACCCACAGCATCCAGGACATCAATGGATTCTGTCTTCCTGCAGAAAACCAAAGATAATACATGAGATTAAAAACTAACCTTTGACCCTAAAAAGTGACTCAAAAAGGTAGAGCACAATCCAAAAACCTGGTCTCCCAAGGGCGAGCCGTGAATGCATATGGTTTAGAGGTGAGGGCCCCCACTGGGCAGATATCGATAACGTTCCCAGATAACTCCGACATGAACATCTTCTCCACGTAGGTCCCGATCTGCAGGTCATTGCCTCTGCCAGTGGTGCCCAGGTCCTCCACTCCTGCAATCTCACTGGCAAAGCTGTAGGAGCAAAAAAAAAGACTTATTTTCATATACTTAATTTAAATCAGCATCTCAACTTACTCTAGATATTGATTGAATGTGTGACGCACCGCACACAGCGAGTGCACTGGATGCAGCGAGTCATAATGGTTTTGATAAGGGGACCAATGTTTTTGTCTTCCACAGCTCTTTTGCCCTCAGTGAAGCGGCTCCTGTCACTGCCAAACTGCATGGACTGGTCCTTCAAACAAAATAGTGTTCAGTCGTATTAGTCAATCTTGTATTAATTTATAAATAAAATAATGCAGTTTTGGTCATGCAGACACTCAAGCCTATAAAAAACACATCTACTGTTCACTGGTGGTGATTTATTTTTACCTGTAGGTCACATTCTCCCCCCTGATCACAGATTGGACAGTCTAATGGGTGGTTAGCCAGCAGGAACTCCATCACACCCTCTCTGTGTAAAATGAAACAGGTTACTTTAATACAAAGAAACATTCGATTTGTTGTGTTTTTTTTTTGCTTGGGAGAGATGTGGGTTATCATATCACCTCAGTTGAAAATTGCCCACATACCACTTGGAATAATTACAGAGCAATATTAACTCTAACCAAACACAAATATGTAATATTATCAGAGAATACAATGTCTTACTTTTGATCCTACCTTGCCTTTCTTGTTTTGTCAGAGTTGGTTAAAATGTTCCAGCCCTTCATGACCGGCATCGCACAAGCTGCCACCGGCTCCAAGTTGAATGAAAAATGATTACTGATTATTCCAAGTTATACAAGGCAAATAAGTGCAGCATGCTGGCTACCATAAATAGAAACAAAAACACACGACCCGAAGCTTACCTTAGGAACTTTCTCTATCTCCACCAGACACATGCGACAGTTTCCTGCAACCGACAAGCGCTCATGGTAGCAGAAGCGAGGAATCTGCATTCCTACCTTTTCACACGCCTTGTGACAAGATTTGAGTCAGTGTCAAATCTGATATCATGACTCAATATGTCAACAATCAATCTATCTATCTTATGCATGGATTTAGCGTGTTACCTGCAACACGGTGGTTCCCGGCTCCACCATGATAGGGTTCCCATCCACGAACACCTCCACAAGGTTACTGGCGGCTGCTGTTGCTGCGGTGCGAGCTTCAAGCACAGGCAAAAAAAACATTTTTATTGCAAATCTTTCCTTTTCTTTTCATCCAAGAACTGTTACTTAAAAAAAAAAAAAAAAAAACAGCTGCATAATTTATCACCATCTATATCACATCCTATTATGATGAATCCCGGGTATTACAAAGTAACAACACATGATTGCCACTGAGTACTATTGGCTACATTGAGCCAGCAACAGCCTGGCACCAGATGTGGTATCTGGTAAATCTGTAATCCTGCCTATAATCCATCAGTGGAGCAAAGTGACAAGGGTTCAGGTGCTTGCACACAACAGACAGCATACAACATACAGCCTGGGTGTTCTGCTGATACACAAGACACACATATGATCAATTAATCAGGTTATAAAGTGACATCTGTCTTACCATTGTTCGTTGCAGCCGTACTTCCTCTGATAATTGCTGCTGGAAAAAGACTCCGGCTCACAACAGGCAAACGCAACATGCTGCAAGAGAGTCAACGTCACGTGTAAAGGTTCTACTTCTTCTTCTTGTGTCAAGTATCGACAAGACTTTAAGATGTTCAAAGCTGCTGCGTCATATAAACCCCGAAGAACCGTAAAACATGTATGCAACGAGCAAGCAAAACAATAGCAGAAACACGAGCAAACGTTTGTCATTTAGATGCAGCTAATTTATACTGCGACGTATTTAAAAAAAAAAAAAAAAAAAGAACACGTCTAAATGATAGCCTGCTATTCATGGTGCCCTTTAAAAGGACATGTTAAAACTGTTAAACTACGCCAAATGTAACGAACCTTAGACTTGCCAAATGATGGAACTACCAAGCAAAGATTATACGCTAGCTGAGTGTGTTAGCTCGCGACATAGTCATATTCTAACGTTACGCCAATGATACATAGTATCAACTGCCACCGCGAGAAGCAGTATTTCAACGTTTGCAATGTTGACTCCAAAATCACAAATGTCACTTTGCCTCAAACAAGCTAACGTAACACGTGAGGTCAACCTATTTCTAGAAGACTAGTCCGTTTATTCTAATAAGAAGCCGGTTCTAACGTTCGTTCAGTGGACTAAATGTTGACGACATACTTAACGTTAAGTATGTCGTCAACATTTAGTCTGAAATACTATTTCCTAAACACTACGGTGATGTGTTGCTTACCTTGCCAGTGTTTGGGGTTAGTCTCTGGAGACTGCCTGCGACGCAGATGGCGCACTGTTTTATTATTCTGCTGCGTCACGGATTATGTACTCCTGTATCGGCTATAATAATCCAAGGCCACTTTTTCCTCTACTTTTCCTGCAATTACTGACTGGTCTAGTCTGTGGTAAAGTAGCAGCTACAGCAGGATCTCTCACATACACAGACCTAATCTAGTTAACACTTAATTCGTTTTTCATCCTTTAATGAGCCACTTTAAAGAGCAGTTAATTGAAACGATGGAGGGGTCGCAGGTACACCAATTTTCCACAAAGTGAAGTGAATGCTGATTGTAGTTGTTGAAGAAGTCTAAATGTTTGCTACTTTTCCCTGATTTTTACAGTTATTCCAGGGATTCAACCTTCCGGTCACAGACAGGATGGTAAACTATTTTATGACCAACAGTCGTGTCATCCTTACAAGTCAGAGTTCACCAGAAAGAAATAACAGGAAATGGCTGGTAAACAGAACCTCAGGAAACGGAAGGAAATGCACATCATGATTTAGGGTTGTGGATGTAAACTGTGTGTAAACTGTGAAATGTAAACTGTATGTATACATAAAACATCAAATCCTGCTTTTTTATTGACAGACTCTTCTCACATCAAGTCAAACAATATAAAGAAAATACTCAATTTACAAAGAACAGTAGGCCTACATGTTCAGAAGAATAATTTTATTAAGAAATATGCTATTTACTTGTAATATATTAGAATAAAACATTTATACAACTCTCAATAAAAATCAGCTTACTTACAATACATTAATAGGTGACAACCAGCCATATACAGCTGTATAAAAACATACTAATGTTGACTACCAATAGATTTATGCAACATATCTCATCTCTAACCAAAAGATGTCGTTCTTCAAGAGTAGACTACAACAATAACAAATTCAGTAGGCTGAATACGTTATTTGCATTTGATATAACACTGCAACTAATTCATATGGATACATCATTTTGTTTTACTTTTACTTTGTTTATAAAATCACAGAAAATAGTAAAAAATATCAGAATTTTATATATATATATATATATATATATATATATATATAATCCATCAATTCATTATCAATATACTAGCAGATTATTTTATTTTTTTCTCGCCTCTTTCATTGCAAATCACTGGAGTTGTGCAAATGTAAACTAAAGGGAAAGATATATTAACTCCATGTGCACATTATGCACAGTTCTGCTCAGCTTTTCCTTTCAGAGTAATTATGCACAACTCTGTCCAAATTAAACAAAATAGGAAAATCTTGCCACTACAGCTGGAAAGAACAGCAACGATAATCCTCCACATTTATGGTAAAGTAATAGCCATTCTTACTTTCATGTTTTTCATGGACAACAACTACAGTAATCATACAGTTGATGACTCCACAGGCTCCTCTGGGACACTGTCCTGGTGATCTCCTGGCACAGACTCCATCTCGGTGGCAGAGATCGACTGGCTGAGCTCTCTCAGTGAACTCTTAGTAATGTCCAGGCATGCACGCTTCAGGATATGACGCACCTTTTTGCCCAGGAGCATATACAGGAGGGGGTTAATGCAGCTGTTAAAAAACCCTAAACTGGTGGCAAGAGGAAAGCCAGATTTCAGTATGTTGTGCAGGTATAATGAGGAATGTACGGATAACTCCATCAAGCTAAAAGTATGAAAAGGTGCCCAGCATAAAAAGAAGGCCAGAATTACTGCAGAGACTGTTCTGGAGAAGCTGGACAGCCGAACCGAGCCGCCAGATTGATTCACTTTGATTGTCAAAAGTATACCCGTCACACATATGGCAGTAAAAGGCAACAAGAAGCCAACAGTGGTACGAATGACCACTATCATAATGTGTCTCATCGCCACTGTGTGTCCATCCTGTGTGTGGAAGTTGTTAAAGCACACTACCTTGTCGTGTAGGCGCATGGTGTCACGAAAAATCAGCGCAGGGCAGCTCAAGGCAGCAGCCAGCCACCATATGCAACCACATACAACCCAGGCCCTCTCTATAGTGCGATACCTCTGAGACCAGCTGAGGTGGACCAGAGACACATATCTGTCTATACTGAGCACTGTGAGAAAGAGCACACTGGCATACATGTTCATCACAGACACAAATGAGTTGAGCTTACACATGACCACACCAAAGTCCCAGTGGAAGTCCCGCAGTATGTAATCAATGTAGAAGGGGAGGAAAAGCACAAACACAAAGTCTGCCAAGGCTAGATTGAGCAACCAAACATTGTTGACTGTGTTTTTGCTTTTCAATGCTATCACCCAAATAACAGTTCCGTTTCCAATCAGACCAAGCACAAAGGAAATAATGTAAATGACCACTGAGATTATGTGCATAGTTTCCCTCTGCCTGTGGTCTACTTTAAGTTCTTCTAGGTCTCCGTACTCCAGGTAGTAATCATAGGTGTAGTTCCCATAGTCCTCGCCGGAGTCATCCATTATTGCAGAGCTTTAACCTCTGTGGTGAAGCTATCTGCGGGAAGGAAAAGCTCATGATAAGATGCATTCCTTTAAGATGATCCATAAACACAGTAATTCAAAACATTCCCATCCGTTATAATCAACGACACGTTGTCTCACCTCACACACTCTGTGATTACGCTGCTGTTCTCCAGAAGGATCGAGTTGTCTGTCCTGTCCACCTTTCTGATCATCCAGTTCCTGTGTTGAAGTTAGGACTGGGTGTGTCCTGACTAACCCTGGAACAAAGTGTCAACATTCGTTTGGATCAACAGTGTGGAGATGCCCAACAGATGAGGCGGAATAGTGTGATTCATAGTGTTGGTTGTATAAGTAAACATGGAAAAACTGGCAAATGCTGTATTGTTACGCAATGCACCCTTTTAATTTAGTTGTGCATCTTTCCCAAGGTTATTACCAAACCAGCAACTGGGTGAAATGTTAGATTTCTTCCCATATCTAATATTTGTATCTTCATCAAGGCTAGAATGGGGCACCAACTACAAGTTTTACTGAAGCCAGATTAACACCAAATTTAAAAAGACTTTGCGGTCTGAGGTGAATGTTGTTTAACTTGTGTTTTTATCAGGCTTTTTCCAGTCTTCAATACAAATCTATTCATATATATATATCCTATTGATAAACTTTGTAAAACAAAAGTGTAAGTAAACAGAACAAAGTTAAGATTAAGAATATTAATTAAATCTCAATTTCAAAGAGAAAAATGAAATAGATAATGAATAATCAGACTTTGCCATAAAAAAATGTGTTGAAAAAAAGTAACAACAGACCAAAGAGAAAATGTAGGCCCATGCCATATCAGTTCAATCACTCAACAAAATAATTATACGTAGACTATGTCCTTTTAAAAGTATTAATATAACAGTAAACAATAGAGAAAACACCGAACGCTGAAAGCAGAATCAGTGCAATCAAAGAAGTAGAACCGGTCTCACAGGAACAAGGGCTCCTATACAAATCTCAGTAAACGATGCAAACACATTGTTTACGTAATTAATAGCATGTTAAGTGGGAAACACCTCATAATAAAAGTGCCACATGCACACTATTGGCATACTAGCGGGATAAACATTTTAAAAAGACAGCGCATCGCTTACCTAAAAGTGCAGAGCTCCCTTTTATTAGTATTTGGACCAAAACACCGAGAGCTCCCGGATGAACGTGACTGCTAAGGTTTAGCCCTTTAGCTACCTTTGTTTTTGGCCGGGCCTCGTCAGTGTAACTTCCCCACTCGGCTTCAAAACTCTTTCTGCGGCATGTGCAGTCTTTCCGTGAGTCCATCCAAACCCATCTCCGTTGGGAGGAGACGTGCAGTGGGCGCGCCTCGCTGACGCGTCAAACTTGGACCGCCGAATGAAGAAAAGTTATTGGTTACTGGTACAGAAGAATGCTCTCATTCACTAAACCGAGCTGCGGCTGCTTTTCATAACAGCAGTGTAAACCACGCAGTCTGCGGTGTGTAAACCCGGAGCGCCCCTCTTTCTCCCCTCGGTGACTAAACGGAGAAGTTTTGAATGCTGCAGATTCTCTCCTAAAATGCACAAATCAACGTTTTAATATTAGTATTACTATGCTGTAGCATGACAGCTACAGCATAGTTGATCACAGTGATTTATTACAGAATTTTCCACAACGTTTGGGGACTTGTGAAAAGTTTAAAAGAAAAAAAGAGATGGTCCATATCCGTATGTGTCACACTCATCATCAATCAACTCCACCCCCTTGGAAAAAAAAAGTTTTTTATTAAGCCTCAAGCCCAAGCAGAGATAACCCTGATGACATCAGCAGGGGTTATTTTTCTCAGACTTGCTAATGCTCCTCCAGAGCCACAGAAGACATTATACAACTGCTTTCACAGGCTGAGTAGCACTCCCACCACGAGTTAACCAACGCTCATGTGCTCAAATTGTGTTCTTAAGTACAAATACTAGGTGTACTTTACTTTTATTCTTTCATTTATTTATTATTACTTCCATTTTATGCAACTTCGGACTTCTCTACTCTACATATCAGAGGCAAATAATTGACTTTCTACTCCACTACATTTCTCTGTATACCTTCTTGCACCCTTCCTGTCCAGTGAAAACCATGTGTCTCCAAATGTGTTGATTTTGAATTAGAAGTTGTCTCATTAACGGATTCAGAAAAACTATTAAGTGTTCATCTGTGGGTTAAGTAAATTTGCCCCACATCACAGTTTATAACACTGCTTGGTTTTCATTTTCAAGCATACCACCCCAATCAGTGATGTCACAGACTCCAGTTAAAGGCACAACACCTGCATCACTGATGGAGGCACAGCCAGAACTTCTTTTCAGGTTGAACATTTTAGCTTCCCGCCCTGTGATGTTTTACCCTTTATATCTTGAACAATAAGTAAGTCACATTGAAAACTAGTGAAATGACCTTCAACTGTTTCGAAAAAGTAGCAGTAAATTACAAACATGTCTATTGCTATTAAATTTGTCAAATGTAATAGGTTTTTCAAACTGATGCAGGTTGAACTCAGAGAGACTTCATGTGGACTCTGCTGCTTACTCGTCCCTTTTTGTTTCATCCGACAGCCTTGTCTCAGTTGTCTCAATTTCCAGTGACCCAAAATGACCAACTCATCCCTGTGTGGACCACTCAGCCCTGAGGAGGGAGGAGCTGTCACATTCTCCAAGAGCCCTGTGTGTCTGAGATCTGCATCGCCCAATGAAACCTACAAGTCATGCCATGCACTCGTTATAGTTCATGGCCCGTGTCACACAGTCTTTCTTGAAGATTTTCTGCTGTTTCTAAAAGAGACTAGGGCACATTCAATGTCCCCACTGGGACTTTTAATGAAACTTAAAGGTGTTAAATTCGAAATTCAGAGCATTAATATAGCATGCTCTGCATGGCGCTCATACGGCAGTTAGCTGATAACGCCTTCCTGACCCATAGCGGTTCCCCCTCAGGTAAACACTGTTAGCTCTGTCAGCACTGTTGATGTTGTTCGCACTGTTAGTGCTGTTAGCACTGTTAGCCACTAGCCAATAGCTCAGCCATTGCCATGTTGAGAGCCATGTGGAGGCAATCCCTCAATCATATGCTCTGAATTTTGAATTTAGCACCTTTAAAGAAGCAAATTGTTGACTGTGGAAAAGTTTCCTTTACTTCTATTTCATTGTAATTTCATTGTTGTGATCGGTTCTTCTATAATAAGATAGACGAATATGAAATTGTGTACTAAGAGTGGCAATAATGAAATGTAACTACATTTACTTGTGTACTGAAGTACAAATTTAAGGTTATTGCATTTGATTTGATTATTTTATTATATGCGACTTTATGGCTCACTACATTTATCTCAGACGGGAATATTGTACTTTACACTCCACACAATTTTTTTTTGAAAGCTATTAGTTACTAGTTACTTTGCATATCAGGATTTTACATAGAAAACATATGATCAGCTTCAACAATATGACACAATATTATAGGTTGAACCACCCCATAACAGTATATAAAGTGGTTAAGTTTGCCTTAACAAGCTAAAACAGTAAAATGTGACTTTATACTAATTGATATATCAGTTGTAAAATTAGCCACCAATGGCTAGTGACCACTTTTACTTTTAATAGTACATTTTACTGCTAAAACCTCTGTTTCTATTTCAGTTAAATTATGAATGCAGTACTTACTCATGTAATATTGTGTTATTGCTAAAACTTTGAGTAGAAGACCATTTAGACCCATGAAATTAAAGAAGCGGCTAAATGCTTATATCCTCCCCTAAAGCATACACATGTATTATATATTAGGCTACAACAATAACCAAGACATTAAGGCATACAATTTAAAATGTAATATTGTTTTTTTTTTCTCATATTCACAACAAAAATACTTATCGTGTGTGATCACACAGTAGGTGCGAGTGGGTCGTTTCCTGTTTTGTTTCTGGTCGATGGGATTTTACAGCCATGCCTTTGAGGTCACCTGCACGGGCTTCCTGTGGCCCAGGAGGGAGGGAGGAAGGACATCTCTCTGCTCACCGAGGAGGAGCCTGCTGGTCGACTTCCAGTAGCTGCCTGGCCACCGCCTTCTTTCTGCTCACCCCCTCCCTCCCTCTCTCGTCCTCACCCTCCTCCTCCTCAGCCGCTACTGCAGCAGCGAGCAGCCCGGTGCCTCCTGGATCCATGAAGAGAGCCCCCCTGCACGGCACGTCCCCCGCCACGATGGGCCGCGAGCTATATACTGCGTTGAAGTGTTGATATTGAGATATTTCAGTTATCAAATATGAATCATGCATTTGATATTTCTGGCCACTTTGCTCGTGAGCATCCTTTCGCCTTGGCTTCATCCATCACTAGCGTCATCCGGTATGTATCGCAATAGCCTGCTGGCTTTTCGTGACACTTTTATCTAATTAGAAACACCTTTCACTTTCTGTGTTGGGCTAAAATAATATCTGATGATGTAGCCTACTGCAGGTGCACACTATCGCCCCCTCTAAAAAAAAAAAGAAAAGATATGTGATTTAATATGCGCCGTCTTCGGCGTGATGGTGCATGATGCAGACTACAGCATATCAGTATCTTTTGTTCAGCTTATAAAACAATAGTGCTCTTGATTATGTATGAGTATCATATTTAAAATAACTGTTGCTGGTACTCTTTTACTTCAAGTGCATGCTATTATATGCTGTTGTTATCAGAAGCTATTTGGATTTATATTGCATAATGCACACTGCATGTATCTATCTGGTGCAGAGTTTTTCACTTTGGAAATAAGCGTATCAAAAGTACCTTTCAAAGAAATGAAGCTGTTTATATTCTGTATTCTAAATCAGCCGTATGGGGTTGCCAGTGTAGGATGGCATGTAACCAGTCATTCCGAACTGTGTCCAGAAGAATCGCAATAAAGCCGTGGCCACTTGCCTCAGAATTATCAATGCGCTTCATGAATTAAGGATGACAGCTGGCTGTTTGTGTGTGTGTGTGTGTGCTGTGTGTGTGTGTGTGTGTGTGTGTATGTATGTATATGTGTGTGTCAGGTATTTCATGTCTGTGCGGTGGCAATTGTCTTGCAGTTTCTCAAGGAGTAGGGGACAAGGTTGAGAGGGACGCAGTGCCAGCCCTGCTGAAGCAACAGGCAACTGCAGCACCGGCTACAGACAACACAACACACCATGCAGTGGAGCATGTGATCACCTACCCCTCGCGTTTAATCTACTACCTAAACGAGGACTCGGAGAGCACCTACCATGACCTGGACACCCGGGCCAAGAACCAAGCCACAGAGCGGCAGGTAAGCCAGCATCGAAGCGGGATGGGTGAGGGAGATTGATACTGGGACGTTGTGAGAAGTTACTTCCTAGAAAAACCTTTGTGATCTATAGCAGGAATGTTTAGTCACATAGCATGCTGTGTGGACAAGGCTTTGAAGTTTTGAATCCAGATTATGTCTCGTATTAGACCTTAATGCTGTCTTTAGTGTCATGTTACTGCACACTGTCAGACAAAGCAAAGACACCCATCACATGAAGCACATTAACAGCTGCTTTATACGTTTAAGAACTGGAGTGATGCCAGACCGACCATGTTGAAGGAAGCTATTCTTCCAGTATGCCCACTGTGCATTACCATCTGCCATTTATCCGCCACATCTGTTATCTTTGTGCTGTAGAGGATGTTTAAGGTGCACTCTAGAGGATTTTATGTTCGTAGAAAGCTATAATGTTATGGTTTTGCATCATCTGCAGTCCCGACTCTTTTCTACCTTACAGGCAGTCCACCTCGCCCAAGCCAGTTTCCAGTTAGAGGCATTCGGCATCCGATTTGCCCTGGATCTATCATTGAACACGTAAGTCCTTCTCATCCTATCTAACTACAGTTCATGTAAGCTAAAACAATAGATTTTGGAGCGATTTAGTCCCTGTGGTCCAGTTGTTGATCTCTATTATTGTGGCAAAATGACGAGAAGAGATGACGAACTGAAGTTGCAACCAGCGGGAATTGTTTTAATAAGCTCACGCCCAACATACAACGAGTTTAGCAAATCCAAACAAATCCAAATGTATTACTTTTCACAGATCACTTTTATAGTCAAACTTCACCCATCTTAAGTTACTTTCCACCAATCAAACCAGTCCGTTGAACCAAAAACAAAGCACATCTGGTCTCTTCATTATGTCATGCTCTCACGTCCTCCTTTAGGTCAAGATAACCTTTTGGCAGAACACACGACTCATGTACGGGAAATATTTTGGTACAAATCTGAGAGATTTATTACAATTTGTCTGGCGTGCCCTGATCACTTCCTAAGAATGTTTCTATGAGCCAGAATGTGTTCACATAAGAAAGTTATATAAACGGTTCACTTGTGAATCCAAATGTGTTCAGTTCAATCCTAAGTTATATGATGATTTTCTTCAACACTATCCAGTTACAGGGGGCTACTTTCTTTGTTTACGTTTCAGTCAGACTCAGAGACAAGATTGTGGAATTATCAATTACCCGAATCTCTACAACGGAGGTGGGAAGTGCAAAGTTGGCACAACTCAGAGTCACAATTAGTCACATTTACAGGAAGTAAACCACGTTGAAATAAACCAAAATTTCCCTTTCATCATAACAAACCTCGAGACTTGTGGTTGAACTTCCAGTGTGAGTGAGTCGTCTGTCACTCACAAGAGTATCTGCTGTCAAGATCATGTTGACAGTTAATGTGCAGATGGTTGAAAATAGCAGAACGTCTGTATTTTTATTCCTGTGGAAACCTTCCTGCCACAACAGAGCCACACTGACACTCCCTATGGATATTATAAAAAATAATGCGGCATACTGTACAAAACATTATAAGAAAGTATTAAAAGGAAGCTGTGATTTAGGGTTTTATTAGTTTAATTCAGGGCTCTTAAGTTGTACTAATTTAAATGTAGGCATAGTGTAAACTAAATGTGCACTTTAAGCTGTATTAAGAAGGAAAAGTTTAAAAAGAATATAATTAATTTAAATAAAGATTGGATATTACTAAAACATCATTAAGCCCTAATAGGCCACAGTGGAAGTCTGTATTAGGGCGTCAAAATGACCAGAAGTCTGAGTAAGCAATATGTGTCATAGCTAACACCAAATCGACAACAACTGTGAATCCCGTCTGGAGATGACTGTTGTTTGTAACTGATACATTGTTTTATATGTCATATCAGTGATTAATACAGCGTCAGTCGACGATCGCTTAATTAGGGAAACTGTAATTGAATAGGTCGGCGCGCTAGTTTCCAGAATCCTAGTTTCCAGAGTGCTAAAAGCAATGTTAGTTTAGCCGCCAGACTACAGACAGACTGTTTAAGACAAGGATTTGGAAAACCAAAGTCTCTATCTTTAATGAGGCTTAATTGGTTTGCATCAAAATCAGCAGAGAGACAGTTACTCTGCGGTCTGTGATCACTGTCCCATTCGGAGACACGAGGCTCCGGACACTCAATGGTATTGATTTACTGCCTTTGCAAAGTAGCCGGTCTGCATGTGCGAAGGCTTAATGTACGTGTGTAAAGGACTTTAAAAATGTTGATTTGATTCCAAGTTCCTTGATGTGATAAAATATTGTAATTGTATATTGTCTGCATTGCTGAGTGATGTTAGATGTTACTCTAGTTACTTTAAAATGTAATGTCATCACTTTAGCAAAATTAAAACTATCTTAAGTAGTATTGAAAAGCTCTACTAGGTTGGTTGAAGACATTTTTATGCTCTGGATGCTATCTTTGTAGAAGTTTGAGTATCATTTCAATTGCCACAGTAGAATCCTTCAAAGTGCAGATTTCAGCAGTTACCTGCAGTAAATAGTTGTTTTATTGTGCAACTGTACAAGGTCAGATAATACAGGAGAGGCTCCGGGAATTATGAATTTTGCTGTTGAGCTTCTTGTTGTTAGGAGACCACATAGCTGACTGTTTATTGAAGAGTTGATGCTCATGTATCAGGTAGGTCGATGGGAGAGTCATCATCAATATTCAATGTCTGTGTTTTTCTTCTCTCTGTTCTAAATTGAATATACACAGTTAGGTTTTGTGGAAATGAAAGAAAGCAGAGGTCAAATATTGTCACACTTCTGTGTTTTGTGCACATGTGTTGTTTGCAGCATATGTTAAGTAGCATAGAGACAGATACAGGAAGAATTGCACTCTTGCCCTGTCATTCCCAGCTCAAACAATCACGCGTCACGTTTAAGAGACGTCCTGTACATTATCGTCAGACACTAAGGAAACACCACTTAATACAGCATTACCTCTTTACAGCAGCTGCACAGAGGCTTGGAAGCGTGACCTTGATTCCTAGCTGTTTGCTTGTACCGTAGGTTATCTGTGAGATACATGAGCTAACTTCAGAGTGTGCCTTTTTGTTTTGAGAGAACAGGGGTTTGAATTCTGCTTGGTGTCGTAGCTGCGACAGTACTGATCTAAATATAGATAGGTCTGCAACCTGCCAATGGGTGCTACTTTATCTGCAAACCTCTTACTGTACCTCGGACTGCAAACCATGTTTTTCTCAGTTGAAACGAATCATATATTCAATAAAAATGCGAATTAGAAAAGTGAATAGTTTTAGTGCTGCTTGTTGAGAGCATCTCTGTTTTTTTAGACTCATTATTTCCAGGTGTTGGAGGTATGAACAGTAATGACAAAAGTCACTACAGGATTTAGAGCTGCATTTGATCTGTCGCCAGACGTTAGAACCTCCTGCAGTTCTTTTTGGTCCTCCCTCACTGTCTCGCTTCCCAGATGCCGCTGCTGCTGTATTGTGAACCGAGACACCTCAGGGCAGGACTCCCTTCTCAAGATCTCCACACACTTTCACAGCTCTCTCACACACACACACACACACACACACATCCATACAGACACAGTGTCTTTACCCCTCCATGCGCTGCAGTGCTGCCCTCACACGCACACACACACACACACTCATACAAACACCAACTAAGCGTAGCCCACTATCCTCGCCCTGCCTCATCTGTCACGCTATTAATAGCCCCTCACTCAGGAATCTCTCACATGCCTGGACTCTCCTTTCATAATGGTGCACTTCCTGCTCTCGTGCCGCCGAGAATCACTCAAAAATGTCACACTGCTGGTGTTACAAAACTAGATCCATCACTTCCATCTTTTCTTTTTATTCCCCCAGCTGCAACGCCACTACATGCGTATGTAGAGGAGGATGTTTTTTTGATGTGCAAGGTTACTAGGAAAGAAAGCGCCATTGTGGCAGAAATCGCAGTCTCTTGAAGTCAGCTGTCAGCTAACAGATTGAGTGTGTGAAACGGTGAAGGGACGCTGACTCAGACAGCGGGGACTGCCGGGAGGACCGTGGTGTTCAAGGTGAAACCGAGGCCTCGCAATCATTCATCACATTAGGCGTCGTCGTTTCTGTTCCTGTTATGTGTGCTGTTTCTCAACCAGTGACGTTATTTCGGGAGATTTGAGGAAGAACCATGTTCTGTAGATGAGCTTCTGTAAACTGTAGTTTTGTGATGATGGATTTTAATCCTCTGTTTCTTTATGATAACCTAAGGCCAGTTTGCAAAATTATTGAGTGGCTGTGAATCTTGTTGTGACAGTATTTATTGGAGTAAATTCTTCATAATTTTTCCTGAGGGGAGGCAACATTTAACATATCCGCTGCACTTTTTGAGATGCCATGGGAGTGTTTGTGCAGGCTTATCCAGGCACAGTGGTGATGAGTGTTCTTGTTTAAATGGCAACCAAAGCACTACTCACCGCTAGTTGAAAACCACAATGTGTGAGTCAGAGAAAGCAAAAGCAGAGAGATTCTATTTGTGTGTTTTATTCTTATTGTCACTGCATCACATCCGTTCACCTTAATCAACTGCAATCTCTATTTTTACAGCGACTTGCTGTCTTCAGATTATGTTGAGATCCACTATGAGGCGGGCAAACCTGTTTTGTCAAAGGTAACGTCTTCGTTATTTGTGACTGAAATGTTACAGCACACATCTGTTCAGCTGCTGTTTTTATTTTGTCACCCACATTGTGGGTAAAGCAAACGGCATAAATATGCTTTGTCTCAACTTTCGGAAATAGACTTTGAAACAAAAGGCAGGAACAGATGTGTGTTGATTTCATGTAAATCAGTTTGCTTGTCAGCTTGTTTTATCACGCATTTTGCAAATTGGTAATCATATTTACACTGCAACTGTCACATCAAGGAAATCTTCTTTTGCAGACTAAGAAAAAGAACAAAATGTACAGGAAGAAGAGATGGGTAGATAGATGTACAGAAAGACGAGATAGATAGTGATAGATAGGCTGGTAGGTGGATTAAAATGTGAAAGTACATGATTTTCACTGAAAAAAAGAAGAGAGGAGATAAAGAGAGGAGGGAGAAAACAGGTTGGGAATGAGAGCTGGTTCCGGCTGCTGCTGCTGCTGCTGCTGCTGCTGATTCAGGCACAGGGCTGGGCATACTGTAGCTGAATCAGCAGGGTTTCGCTCTCCTGCAGCCTCCTGCTGGATCTCTGGTCACATGACGACAGAGAGAAAGCCCTCTGCAGTATCAGTGCAGCGTGGGATGGGTGAAGAGAGAGAGGCAGAGAGAGAGGGGGGTGAATGTCCTCTGCTCACCCTGGATCTGACAGCTGAGTCACAGATAGCGCCAGGACCCACCTTGCAATGTTTCAACTTCATCTTAACAAGCAAAGACCCCCTGCTGAAATGCTTTGCAAATGTACCAAATCGGCATCTGTAAGACAAGCTGTTACCTCCTCTGAGATGTTAGAAAATTCCAACACATGATAATTAAGTGAAAAATATGACACATTCACCATGTAATAGTGAATTTGAGTTATCATCATGGTCAGTGTATGCACATTTCTGTGTGTTGTGATGCGAGTAATTCTTCTTTAGTTATGGCTGGGGATTGCTGTGATGCTGCATTAGCACTCTGTCTTCTTCCCTCAGGGCGGTGAGCACTGTTACTACCACGGCCAGGTGAGAGGGAGTGATAACTCCCATGTGGCCTTATCTACCTGCAACGGGCTGCAGTAAGTGAACAGCAGAATTGTGTGTAATCCTTGCCGTGTTCAGAATAATTCTGGATGCACTCATCTCTGCTCCTCAGCTCCTATTGACTCAGTATCGACTGCCTTCTCTCTCTTTTCTACTCTCTCTGCCCGGCAGTGGGATGTTTGACGATGGAGTCTATGTGTATCTAATTGAGCCCTTACAACAGACTCATTCAATCGTAAGTTATTCCTCTCGCAGAGAACCAAAATATGTATCATACAAAGGTTGTGACCCGCTCGCCTCCACCTCACATGCACAACACCCTCTGCTGTTTACTACTTTTTTAGTTTTTAGTAGTATTTGTATACGGCTGGACAATATGGTTGAAATCAATATCAATATATTAATAAGGATATTTATTATATTATATTGATTTCAGTATGCATCACGGTATAAAACATTTATGTAACTGAGATACAACTTGTTTATTAGTGTGCTTCAGAACTGCTGGTAGCTGAGCTAGGCTAACTGTTTCCCCCTGTTTCCAGTCTTCATGATAAATTAACCTGCTGCTGGCTGTAGCTTAATTTTCAACAGACAAACTCAAGGGTGGTATCAATCTTCTCATCTTACTCTCGGCTGTTAACACTTGTTTGCCTCGCCCCTGCAGGATACAGCTGCAAGGCCTCACAAACTAAGAAGAACATCCTCCCTTCAGTGGAACAATGATTCAGAGGAACAGGGTAAGAAAAACAAAACCCTGTGGGCTGGAACTCATGAAAGAGGTTTACAGAACCCAGTTGTAAATCTGTGAGTTGAAATGTCACTATTTCCTTGTGTGTGGTCATAGTTGAGGAGGAGGAGCAGCTCTTCTCAGAGCTGGATGACTTGTCCTGGCTGAAGCGCAGGAAAAAGCGAGCAGTAAGTCTCTGATCTCACCTCTCTCAAACGTAATGCAACAAACATTAGTTCACCCACCCTTGAATTATTATGCAATGAATTGAATAATAATTGGATTGTGTGGTCAATGTCAAATACGTGGTCTTAATGGAACTATAAAGAAAACAATCCTCTTCCTGATAATTGTTGGTGGTTCATTATTTTGCAGATGCCTCGCAGTGTATTTGAGGAGATGAAGTATTTGGAGATCATGATTGTCAGTGACCACAGTATGGTATGTAACTAGTAGCTTCTCATACATATAAAAGAAACCTCATTAATATTTCAGACCTACTCTGCTTTTTTCCCCCCCACAAGAAGAAGCAGTGAATTTAGCATACTATACTGAGTGAGCACCATCAAATCACTGCAGCTTATTTATCTTTGTGCTTTTTTCTCTGGGCCTGCAGTATAAACGACACAAGACCAAGCAGCACACAAGGAATTTTGCCAAGTCGGTGGTGAATTTTGTGGATGCTGTGAGTAAACTGTTTCGTTACTGCTGTTTAGTTAAGTGCTAACTAGCAATTGTTAGTGTTAGCATGCTAACATACTACACTAATATGGTGAACATAGTAACTATAGTAGCGTGTTTGCATTGTTATTGTGATTATGAGCATGTTAACATGCCGACATTAGGCTTTAGCTAACTCAAAGCTGCTCTGTTCTTAATTAGAGCCTGACATTGCTGGAAGGAGTACTCATACATTTAACATAAGTAAAAGTAGCAATACCACTCTGTTACAAGTAAAAGTTGTCCAATGTTGCAGCTGACGGAGGTGGATCACATTTGTTGTTTGAGTACAGCAGAATATAACATTTCACCCATGATAAGGTAGCCTCGATGTTGCATAAGTACAACACAGGCATTGAGACAACTGCCAAATATGTCCTTACAGTGTGAACCTATTGATTAATTGTTCAGTACAGCTAAAGTCCTCCTCATGTGTCATAATGGAGTACGTCGCTTTAAACCTGATTCGGTCTTACTACAGTCTTATTGTTAGTCCTTATGGTATTGTGCTGGTGTTTGCACTCGTCATGTGTATTAACACTCCCCTGTTCCTCCTTTTCCCCAGTGTCCTGCATCCCCTCATCTGTCCTCCTCAGACAGTACAGATTCAAATTCACACCCAGTGTTGTTCTCCTCTCCTTGTGCTGTTGCTGCTCTCTCTCTCTGCCTCTCGCTCTCTCTCTCTGCCTTTCTTTATTCCTCCCATTCACTGCGCGCTTCAATGGCAGATCTTCAAAGAGCAGCTACACACACGAGTGGTGCTCGTTGCTGTGGAGATCTGGACAGACAAGGATCAGATCCCCATCAGCGTGAGGCCGCTGGAGATGCTGCGGGATTTCTCCAAGTACCGGCAGCAGAGCATCAAGCATCATGCCGACGCTGTGCACCTCTTCTCGTAGGTTCTTAATTTAAATATAATGTGTTTGCATCACCCTTTGGTGCATCTTCTTTATTAATATAGATTTTAAGCCAGGATTGAAGCTTTATTTGCAATCATTTTTCTTTGAATTTCCAGCGTTTTCTTACATTTTTTTTACGTCCTATTTTATTTTAAACTTACTATAGGATAGTTTCCATTGTATTTATCTGTGATGGACGTGTATTTAGTTTGAATATAAAGACTGCCAGCAGTATAAGTACACAGATAATACAGACTGCTTCTGCATACAATAACAAACCAAAATCTTAGTTTGAGAGGATTCCTATGCAGCCTGTTCTAAGCTTTGGCTCCTTGTTCTCATTATATTCTCTCTGTATGTCTATGTAAGTTCATGGGAATGAAACACCACTGTGTCTTCAGAAGTGAATATTTACATAAATGTCTTCCTAGGTGATGTTGTTTTGTTCATGTGTAACTCTTCGTCTTCCATCGTTCTTGTAGAAATGTGACCTTCCACTATCGCAGAAGCAGCGCGGCATACTTTGGAGGCATGTGTTCTGTGAGCCGAGGAGTAGGGGTCAATGAGGTGAGACTTGCTGTCGTAACACTGAGCATCACTCTGCATCACAGAGAGTGGCTGCAGGTGAATAATCCCTGGTCTCTGCTGTGTCCACAGTACGGCACCAGCTGGTCCATGGCAGGCTCTCTATCCCAGAGCCTGGCTCAGAACCTGGGTATCCAGTGGGACCCAGCCTCCAGGAGAAGTACACATGATACACATGTTGTTATCTCTCAGCTAGTATAAATGAAGGGCAGGCTATTAAGAGACAAAATCTCAATGTTCAGATCACTAAAATTACAAAAAACATATTTTTCTCTTACCCCTAGTTGTATTCAGCCATGCAGATAGTTTTAGATTTATTGTAAATTACGTCGGACACAACTGTCAATTGAACTTATTTTAATTTGCTGATGTTTCAAGATAAAAATAGATCGAGACTCTGGTTGTTCTTTTGTCCCTTCTTTAATGTTTGGTAGAAAATAGAAATAGCATAATAGTATAAAAATATTAAAACTGTCTACCGAGTAGTCTGTGGTTCGACCTGTTTAATCTGAGACACAGTAGGCATGTTTCTTGTAAATGTTGTGCTTTGATCCCCACAACATTCAATTCCCCTTCCATTCAATTCCCCTTCCAATTCCCCATTTCAATTCCCCTTCCATTTCATTGGCAGTTTAAATCTTAAAACTTCAGCAAATAAACCATAACTGTTGGCAAGGCTAGAAGCCTACAGGCGTAAGTAGCATAATATATTGTTTTGTGTTTTGTGATGTGTCCAATAAGTACGTAAATGGCCTGAATGAAAGAAAGTACATTTTTTTGTAATCTACATTCGAAAAAGTGGGGTTTGCTCAGATTTGATCTTTAGATACCTAAATGTAAAGCGGGATATAGTGACTATAGAACAAAAACATGCCTTTTGACTGGACCAAACTGTCTCTTGTCAACTCTTACATGTGCCAGAGGAGACAGATGGAGAGATGCACTGATTTTCTTGGCGAAAGTCGTGCAAAAGTAGACTTCCAGTCAGGCTTGAAGTGGGATGATTTATGCCATTAGTTTCAAGATCACAGTGCTTAATGAGGCAGAGTCAGAGTAGAGCAGCTGCCATGTTTGAAGCTCAACCATCAGAGAGATTATTTTTATGGTCCCAAAACTGGCCAAGCTTGAGAGGAGATTCTGAGTATGTCAGTAAAAAAATAAAATTATTCAGCTGGAAGATCAGGTTCTAAAGCCACTGATCAATTCTCACTGAGATGATAAAGTAGAAATCATGTTCACATAATGTATTTGAATGCTTGTCTTAAAAAGAAAACTTGTAAGTGTGTCTATTTCTGTCAGTGCATCGCTCTCACTGACTGCTTCTGTGTTTTTTCTATCCTCTCTTTCCTGTTTGCAGAGGAATGTGGTTGTGTTGACTCGTGGACTGGCTGCATAATGGAGGACACTGGGTAATGTCCAACATACCCCCTGAGACACACATACAGTGGAACAATTGGAGACGCTTGTTTATGGTCACTCCAAGGTGTAGTCACCGCTCTGGGAGTGTGGGAATGAATGCAGAACTGGTAGATAAATGTTCTGTTTTGACCTAACTGATTATTCAGAATCTCTGTCAAGTGTCGACCCTTTTGTTTTACACAATTTCTAACCAAACATTTAGTCAGTAAAAGAATAAACTGATCAGTGCATGTTAATACCAGGTGTAATTGTGGTCAGTATGCTTTTATCAACTACTGCTATGTGATGAAATGGACAAGGGGCGCATTATACATAACTTTATACTCAAAGGAGCAGCAGTATCTCTTTCACGGTCCCCGTACATGAAGGCATTTCATTGCTGCTTTTTTTTAATCATACTAAATCATTGTTCCGTTCCCACATACCGTTCAGTGTTTTCATCTGCTCCCATTGTTATTTTTTTATTTATTTCCTGGGCTTTGCTGAATGGTGCATCAACAGTTCAATATAGCAGTAAATAAATGGACAAAGATCTTAATTTAACATAATTTTAATGTAAACTGATCCGTGCTTTTACCTCGTTCTCAATCTATTCTGACAGTATTCTCACAGGTTATCTGCTTTTTTTAAAAAGTCTTATAAAGAATTATATTAAATTTCTTTAGAAGGTAATAAAAAGAGTTAAGTTAGATTTATGAATGTCTTAAATATGTTCTCTCTCCTGTCTTAGGCATGTTAGTTCACAAAAGTATCTGATTGCTGGCTGCCAGGAGACATTATACACTTATTAAGTAAACATGTGATAGTTTCGATGATAGTTTGTTCAATAATCTTTTTTTGTAGAGTTCACAAAAGGCTTTAGCAAACACTGTCTCTCCCGTTAGCTACAGCTGGAAGCTCATCGTTTCATAATGGGAACATCCTATCCAGGTCCAAGTTGCATTAGTTCAATTATTATGTTAGTTGGAATTATTGTTATACAGTATATCGCTGGGAAGTAGTGACAAATATGTAATATAGTAACAAATAATCGCAGGACATTTCATTCCCACTGGTTTTTCATCATACTTTCAAACTTTGGATGGTAGGATTGTGAGACAGGTAATAAATTATATGTGGAATGAACAGGTAAGCAGTGTGTGTGTGTGCAAAATATGCTCTAATTTAGAAAGCTGCTCATCACACACATGGCACCCGACAGCATTTTGAACCATGCTTCCATCATGATTGGTCGGCACTGACAGTTCTGGTTAATTATCACCTGGTATTCTCTCTCTTCAGGGTCCAGCACCCGCGGAGATTCTCCAAATGCAGCATCTCAGACTACAAGGAGTTCCTTTTGAAAGGTGGAGGCTCGTGTCTGTTCAACAGGCCGACCAAGGTTAGACTCTCACAACTCTGCCCCAGCTGCCATGAATCACACGTCTGCTCCACCCTTTACACTCTCCTGTCTTCTTCTGTTAGCTGTTCGAGTCCACAGAATGCGGTAATGGATTTGTGGAAGTGGGAGAGGAGTGCGACTGCGGAGCGAGAGCGGTACGGTTTTTTTTTTTACTCCAGAAAGTCAGATCTGTTTGTTGTCGTCTGTTTGTTCAGATGGATGAAGATTTTTTTTCCCCCGTTTGTTTTCAGGAGTGCTACAAGGAATGTTGCAAGAAGTGCTCCCTCGCCAACGGGGCACACTGCAGTGATGGCCCGTGCTGCAATAACACATGTCTGGTATGAGTTTGGTCTTTTCTTTAAGTTTTACAGCACCAATGATTTATTTATACCTCTGACTTTTATCTTCTCTCCTTTTCTTGGCAGTTTTATCCACGAGGTTACAGTTGCCGCTATGCTGTGAACGACTGTGATATCTCAGAGACCTGCTCTGGGGACTCTGGACAGGTGTCCTTGTGTTGAAATGCTACATTTGCTTTGGTTTCTAAATACTCATTCTTTCAACGTTTAATATAGTGTGCATGGTTAAAATGAATTATTTTGTGACTGTTTGCAGTGCCCTCCCAATCTTCATAAACAAGACGGTTACTTCTGCCAGGTAAACCAGGTAGGCACCTGGTGACATCAGAAACAAAGCAGTCCTGCATCAGAATAGCAGTTTGGGAGCAGCTGACTGAGAATGTATTCACCACCTTGTTATTTATCTTTCTGAAGGGACGCTGCTACACCGGAGAGTGCAAGACCAGAGAAAACCAGTGTAAATACATCTGGGGGTCAAGTAAGATGAACATTCCTTTGGCTCGCATTAGCTCTTATCAGTAAAGTGTCAGAGTATCATCATACAGAGATACTGGACGAAAAGAGACTCTCTGTAGTCAGCGCTGTGCAGTTCACGCCTCTTCCTCTTTCCCTCAGAGGCTGGAGGTTCGGAGAAGTTCTGCTATGAGAAGCTGAACACAGAGGGCACAGAGAAGGGCAACTGTGGAAAAGATGGAGACAAATGGATCCAGTGTAGCAAACAGTGAGTTTCAAAGAAAGACAAATTAGATTAACTCTGGTATTTCATACATACCAGCAGGACAGTCCTTTATATTTCTACATAGAGACAGGGATGGTGTTTCCTTATTTTCTTTTATTACTGACATCAAAAGAGATTAATGATGTTTTGAAGCCAACCAATAGAGGGCAACAGAGGGCACATTGTGTGTACTGTTTTGCAGCCTTCACATCTTTCCTTGAGCTTGCAAGCCCAGCCCATTGACTTTTTGCAGCCGCTCTTTATTTGCAGTATTGTGTTTGGGCAGCAAGGCTCTCTAAATACATCCATATTGAAATCCAGGGCCACTTTTCAACATAAGATGATTTCCACAACTGACAACATATTTAAAGGAATACTTCACCATTGAAATAACTATTTGTATAACAATTACTCATCGCATGTTACCTTGAATTCTTAAAGAACACTTTGTTTTGCTCTCATGCCACCAAAATGATCGGAGAATCCGAAAATGGAGTAAATCCTTGATGAACTGAAGTAAAAGGAGGCAAAACTCTATCAAAACATCAGTTTACAAACTCTCACACAACTCCTGCAGTATAATCCAAGTCTAATTTTCCAGTCTTATGCTACTGTTTCAGGTGCGCTGTGAGTCCGTGCATGAGGTGGTAGTGGCTGAGGAGTTCGATTTTGGCAAAAATCCATGTTTGGGAAGTAATGAACATACGAGTGGATAACTTATACTGCATGAGTTGTGTGAGTGTATGAAAATGTATGTTTTGGTATAGTTTTATAGTTTTGCTGTTGATGGGTTGAATATGTGTAACAAAGTTTAAGTTTTTAGAAGAAAGAAGACCTGACAAGGCAAAATGTGTATTAAGTGGACGATTGGCATCTGCACAGACTTCTCTCTTGTATTTTTCAGTGATGTGTTCTGTGGTTACCTTTTGTGCACCAACATCGGCCGCAACCCACGCATCGGCATGATGAAAGGAGAAATCACCCTAGCCACCTTCAACCCTCAAGGCAGAATGGTAGACTGCAGGTAAAGACATGTATACTACCACATATTTAAGAGCTGTCCATGTCCTGGAACGTTTTCACTGTCGTCTGTAGTCCCATTCTTCTGGTTTAATCTTCCATGTATGAGTTTGTGCTCCCTCCCTCTCTTTCCGTATCTTTCTCCCCCTTTCCGTCCCTCCAACCTCTCTTCACAGTGGGGGTCATGTCCTTTTGGATGATGAGACTGATTTAGGCTACGTGGAGGATGGGTCTCCCTGTGGGCCGTCAATGATGTGCCTTGACCACAAGTGTCTGCCAATCCAGTCACTCAACATGAGCATCTGCTCTAGTGGACCTAATGGACAGGTGTGCTCTGCCCACGGGGTGAGTCCTGCCGTCCACTTTTACATTAAACAGTATTTAGACAAACAAATTAAAACAAATATTAAATTCTACAAATAAAAATAGAATAACATTTTAGGTAATATTCATCAAAAGCAATGCTACAGACGTGTGTTATCAATCACCCTGACTGACTCGGCTTCCATCTTTTGTGACATCACCAAATTTAACGAACTATTAGGAGCTGAAAGGTGTAAATTGTCTGCACATGCAGAGGTCTAATCAGGCAACATAAGTGAAATCACCCGTGTAGGTAGAAGTAGAATAATCTACAGAAGCTGCATGTCATATATGGGTAGCTTACTCTGTATTTATGCTCAATAGAAGCAATGGTCCATGCTTTTTTTTGAGTTAATTGTTGGTACATTTAATGCTGCAGATTTGTTTTTAGCTATGTGTTGGACAAGTCAAAACTTTCCTCTGTGAGAAAGGTCTGTTACTTCTTCCGGTGTTTTTCACAGGAGACACAGTCGCGGTAGGAAAAGCACAGGTGTAAATACTGAAATTAACGATGACTGAATTCCATTTAGCTGCTTCAGTTTCAGGGTCCTGGTTTTGTGCATGCTGGCTTACTGTCATGACTTACTGGGACACTTATAGAACGGAACCATTGTTAATGTTATTAGTAACACCTGTGCTATTCCTATGACAAGTCAAGATGTCCGCTGTGAGAAAGGCCTATTGGGTTGCAGTACATTGTGGTTCATCCAGCCATTGTTGTGTAATTCAATCAATTAGATTAAGGTCTGCCTGGAGACTGGCTCTGCTGTTGTTTGCATAATTATATCAGTCTTAACTAAGCAGCTGGCCTGGCTCAAAATGCCATTGTAGAGCTGTAATAGAGTTAATCTCATCTGGATCAGTTTACAGAAATGTGTCTTTATCTTTGTCAACTTTTTACAGTGTAGTAAGTGTCTACGTGGGAGCCTTTGTTAACTGTGGATGAACAATCCAGATGGTTCCTAAAAAGTATCCCAGTGTGTCAGCAACTTTATTTGCAGCTCTTGCGTTCCCCCCGTCACCTCATCTATTTTTGTCTGATCTGTACAGGTGTGCAACAATGAAGCCACGTGCACCTGTGACACCACCTGGGCGGGGACAGACTGTAGCATGCCTGATCCGCCTAAAGAGCCTGAGGCCACTCAGGACGAAGGACCCAAGGGTCGGTTTCCACCTCTTTCAACCTCTGCTGTCTGATAGAATGAATAACTCACAGGTTTATGTACACTGATTTGATTTAGCCAAGATTCACGCTGACTTATATACTGTATATATACGTTGTTGTTGTTGTCATTGTCAGTCGCACCGTTAGATCTGAGTCAGCACACAGTTTCACAGGTGTACTGGGGTCATAAAGACTTTCCATGTAAGATGGCGACTGCAGGAGAATAAAACAGCAGTGTTACATTTGTTACTTTTTTAGAAGATGAAATGAACACACAGTTCAAGTTGTACACCTGACACTTTGACCACAGGGGGGACGGGTGAAGTGGTTAAGGGGGCGGGAAGCGTCACAGAGGGAACCGTGTCACTTCATCCATGACTCTGAAGCAGAAGCCTGCTGTTTGTGTTTGACAGGGTGGTAATAATGCTCCTTTTCCCTCTGCACAGTGAGCGTGGCCACTAACAGGCTGATAGGGGCAGTAGCAGGGACCATTCTGGCCCTGGGGGTGATTTTTGGAGGCACAGGGTGGGGAATAGAGTAAGCATCTTTAACCCTTTCACGGCTCTTCCTCTCATAGTGGTGCCTCAGTGTGCGGGCGGTCTCGTGAGCCGGCCTGAGCCCGTGTGTGCGTCCCGGTGGCTTTGTGTTTTCTTGTGTGTTGGTGATGACCATATAATTGTCATGTGATTGGATGTATTCAGTGTTGTGTGATTGATTGATGGACTCCTCCTCCTCCTCTCCTGCCACCTCCTGTTGTTCCCCATTACTACAAGCCTCTTTCTTCATCCTCCCTCTTCTTCCTGTTGTCCCTTTTCTTTCTCTAATTCTTAGTCGTTATGTGGTTGCTCCTGTGATCCTCTCCTTTCTGGGGCATGTGGGGCATTTAGATGGAAAACAGTCCTGAGAAATGTCCAGTTAGTGACCTGGCTTGTCAGTCAGTGGTAGGCTGTGTGGTGACTGGGACCCCTAAAAACATTTCGACTGCTCATACTGCAAACCACATACACATATCAACTGTCAATCTCTGTTTGAGTAAACCTTTGTAGTGATGGATACCCAGGGTCTCGTCTTCTGCACAACCTAAATGGACAAACCATTGATAATCACTACCTCAGCTGACACCAGATAAATGAAAAGATTCCCAGTGCCTCTACTTCATTATCCTCATGTTACACACTTAAGGGGGCATGCAAACTCAGATTCAGTCATTTTGCTGTAACAGTACTTATGGTTATGTTTTCTGTTCCATGTGAAATCGTCATTGTACAGTTCCATGTTATTTATACAGTGAGTATAGAAACTCATGTCTTTTTCCCCATAACCCTTTACAGGTCCTAGTGCCACCAATCTAATAATAGGCTCCATCGCCGGAGCCATCCTTGTGGCTGCCATAGTGCTGGGGGGGACTGGATGGGGCTTTAAGTAAGCAACACGCCGCATGCCTCTCCTGCTGTAACTCTAGCATCCCTGCTGCTTCTAGACACCAGGGTTTGAGGTCCTGCTACAGAATATGGACCCCAGGGTGGACAATACACAAACGCATGCTTAACACATATCTTAACTGCTCAACTTCATCCAGTGTGCAGTCCTGGTTTTCATAGAGGAGGATGCGTGGATGGATGTGTAAAGGGTGATTTGGAGAGACACTGGGCTCCATGTGGGGCTTGTCTGTTGATCTGTAGCAGAACCTCAAACTGATTGGACGAGCAGAGCTTACGCTTGACATGCATGTTAAGTCCTGACAACAGAGGGGAAACAATCATTTTAATAGTTTAATAATTAAAAGAAAACGTGTGTATTCTTGTATTGATAAGTTGAAATTGTATCTCCCCTCTGAAATTCAAAGATAGGCCTCTAACATCTCTGTGTAGCCAGTCAATGTACTTCATTGTACAATAGTTTAATAAGTTCCAGTCTACTGCTAGCCTGCTGTCCTGAGCAACAGGGGTGTTACACATATTCATTTAAATAGGCCTAAAAGATAACTGAGAAATGCAATCCTGCAGCCACCAAAGCATGCCAGATAGCAAAGTATCATGGTCTTCACCAAAACAAACAAAAAATGAATGAAAGAAAACAGCATAAGAAACATTTCTGCATGTTAACTTGTTGATTTGGAGGAGGTCAGTTCATTGCACAAAGGCTGAGCCAAACCCAGATTGATTTGGTCCGGGGTTGTCATGCTTCATCACCTCCATGATCTTTTTCTCAGTCCGTTACTGTTTGAGGGTGAGACTTTAAATGGAGTGGTGAGAGCGACAGAGAGACAGAGAGACAGAAGCCAGGACCCTTTTTGTCAGCCTTTGTGCCATGGCTGGCCACACCCACCTAAGATGGCCAGGCTCCGCCCTAGAGCAGAGCAGGACTCTCGGACCCCGGCCACACCAGCTGCCATTGCTGCCTGCTTCACAGACCTGGTACAGACACGGCGCATTGCACTGCATGAACCACGCACAACAATAGTGCCACCTTCGATCGGCCTGCTATTGGAACAGGTGCATGACAGAGTGATAGAAGCCCCACAACAAGCCGCAGTACGGGGAGGTTATGCATCACTCCTGTTGTCGTATTGTTGTTGTCCCACTGTTGTGGTAGTAGTTATTGTTGCTGCTGCTGCTGTGGTTGTTGTATATGTGGTTGTCTCCTCTGTCCCTCTTCTGTAGACTATATTTTATGTTAGCTCTTTCCTCCCAGATTGTTATGTTTTGAGTGGAACCAATGTCTTTCCCATCCAAACTGGTAATGAGACATGTCTCCTACACTTCTTCACCTTGTAAACTGATGTTGCACGCACAAGCCAGTCGGAAGTTGCCTGCAAGAGGGCAAAAGAGGACATTTATATTCATAGACCTTCAAAATTAATTTATTAGCTCATTTGAAAGTTTTTTCATTTAGGTCGCTTCTTTCCGATGCTCAGTGTCACCAAATCGTGACGCAGAAGAAAATATGAAGACTTAAGTGGAATGGATCCAAAATAGAAATGGACTTCATTATGTTGACCATACTGCCAATCATCATGAATTAGGATGTAAAGATTTGTGAATATAAATACCTCTGACTGCCTCTTTACAGTCAAGGCCAAACTGGCTCAACAGGGACCTGCCTTTTATCACTTGTTGGAAGACCTCGAATAATCATATAACCGTGGAGAATATTTTTTTATTTTCTGCTTTTGAACATAACAATAGCTAATGAATTTAGTTAGTGGCATTTTACTTATGAGTCTACTATTGTAAACTGAGGAGATGAGTGTGGTTGCTTGTCCAGGTTGCACTAGCTGTGTTACAGATGTGATTACAGCACACACTGACTTCTGTTTCTTGTCTCCATGTAAGAAATGTGAAGAAACGGCGATACGACCCCAACGCTTCAGCCATTTAACCCGAGGAGAGATGGCAATCACAGAAGGACTCCTTCAAGGCTTCCTTAGTTGGCTACCTGACAGCTGGACTGCACTTATTGCTGCTGATCTTTGGCATTAGATTTACTTGAAAAAGACATAGTGGACGTTTTAACAAATTCCATCGTAGTGACGTTAGAAATGCAGCCTTTTCAACTCCACCTCACCCATATAACAAACCCCCACCCCCCACTCTGATCTCTAGAGTGACAGAGCTCCTCTTCCATCCTTTAGTGCCAGTGCACAGGCGTTCAGGCGGAATCCACACCACTCTCTCACCTGGCATGACTATCCGCACAAAAGCGTGCTGCTTGCTGGCCCCCCCCCCCC